GGGCACCAAAAGAGAAATGAACTGTAAGACTGAATGTTTGGGCTTTGCAGGTAGTGAAAGGCCCTTAGAATTCACGTTGGTACATGTCTGCCGTTTTTTTGCCCGAGGTGGCCACAGGCGCGCGGTCGGCAGACAGGTATGCATGCACTCCGTGCCATGCAATTTGCTGACCATGCCCAGTGCAGTGCGGTTGCGCGGCCCAGCGTTTGCGCCCCGGTTGCCTGACACCTATTGCATATTTGAGGGTAGGGGTCCCATTAGAACCGTATCACTGCCAGACTATAGGGCATGATACCTGAGATGAACCTGATTCTTCCTTTTAGGTAAAATAACACTTCACGTTTAAGATGGTGCTGCTTGAATTTCCTTACTTATTTTACTTGATGTATTCTTGAGGTGGACTTTAATTACTTATATTGTTTGGTACCTAAATAATTTGATATCTATTGGTGGAATATTTAGTTTGTTCTTCAAATGTTATCCTTGTCAATTAAATGAGAAATAGCTCTTGTCAGGTGTCGAGGCAAAGTCCTGTAGTCCCAGCGCTTGTTAGGCAGAGACAGAAGGATCCTCGTGCTTGACACCAGCCTGGGCTACATAGTGAGCCCAAGGCCAGCCTACACTGCACTGCTCTGTGAAACCCTATCTCAAAAAAAAAAAAAAAAAAAAAAATATATATATATATATATATATATATGTGTGTGTGTGTGTGTGTGTATACATATAAACTTGTTGGTAGGATTTGTTGAGGCAGGGTGTCATGCTATAGCACAGGGTGGCCTTCAACTGGCTTATGTACCCCCAAGATGGCCTTCAACTGGTTTATGTAGCCCAAGCTAGCCTTGAACTCATGGTGATCATTTCCCTCAGCCTCCCAAGTGCTGGGATTACAGGCTTGAACCGCCCTGCCTAGCTAGTACGATGAAAGCTGTTTTAGCTCTGCTACTATGAAGTACCAAGATTTTAGGAATTGAATCATGAACCCTTAGAAATGGTAAATTTTATTCTTTTTTAAAAGCAGAGCCCTAGACTTTGAGTGACATCTGGCCAGAATTTATGTCCAGATGTCAGTGCTGCCTCCACTTTGCTAAAGGAGGGAATATTTTCCAAAGAGCACACATCCACAGGAGCCAGCATCAGCAACTGTAAAATTTGTTCCATCAGTTTCCTTGAAGATCTGTACTCGGGTATGAGAGTAACAACATTATTTAATGGTTTTCATTGTTGATGAAATTATCTGAAATAGTAGTTTTTTGGTGTATCTGCTTTTATTTTTAGAGACAGGGTCTTACTATGTGGTCTAACCTGGCGTCAAACTCACAAAGATCCTCCTGCCTCAGCCTCCTGAGTGCTGATTATAGGCATGCGCCACCACACCCAGTATGTGCTTTTCTAATTTACAGTGTTACATTAATCTACCCACAGATGCTCTTGTGTAACCTGTTGAACAGCCTTCCATTTCAGAGATTGTTATTGGTAATCCTGCATAAATTTTGTAGGACTCTTAAACAGAGTAAGCCAACTTTTTTGACACCCCCCCTTATAGAAAGTGAGAGGCATTGCTTAACATAGTCCTTTTGAAGGAAAAATCAAACCTCTACACAGTAGTCTTATGTGATGTCATTAGCCCAAGTTCAGTGCTGTCCCTGTCATACATCACCTCCCACATCACATGACTGGGGACCCTTCCCACACTACCCATTTTCAGAAGTTCTTTGGATAAGGGAGTGAGGGCCTATGTTCTAAACATCTACCTACGTGAGTTTCCAAGCTGCACAGCTTTCTTGCAGTGGCCTAGAGGCACAGTTTGTGTAGGTCTGTGTGGAGCCTCCCTCTGAACCTGTGGTGAGAAAGGTCTGCACTCCTCAACCATGGGTCTGTGATGTGAAGCACGTAGCATAGGGAGCAGTTTTTAAGACAGCCTTGATGCGTTGGGGTCATCCTTCATGTTATGGAAGTGATAGGTATTTTTGTCCTGTTCCTTGCCATGTATAGATACCATTGAAACCCCTTCCTTGTGTCTCTGGAGAACCATGTTACCAGCAGTGCCACGGCCACCCCCAGGCACTTCAGACTAATTCTGTGACAAAGATCTCAACACATCCAAGTCCTCTAATTAATAAGCAGAGGCATCTTTTTCTAGTCCGTGGCTTGTGTTCCTTTTATATACTGTGGATGTCATTGTGGAAAAGCAGTCATAATTAGACTATTACAAGTTTCACTTTTTGACACCAAATATGTATCTTTGTATTTTAGGAAAGCCAGTAACTGACAGTAGAAGGATTTGCTGGACTGGATTGGAGCAAAGGGACTTCAGGAGTCCAGGGAGTGTGACAGTGTCATTCAGGTACCTTTGTTTTCGGTATAAGAAAGTGGATATGAAGATAATTTGTTTATTTTTAAATAATAGCTTTGTTGATCTGAAATTTGCATACTATACAATTTATAAACTTAAAATGTATTATTCAGTAAATATTAACATATTGGCATATTTGTGCATCCAGAGCCACAATCCAATTTTGATGGTTTTTGTTGTGCCAAAGCAAAACACTGTCTACTAGCTATCACCTCCCAAACCCTCCCCACTAAATCTAGGGCACCACATAGCTACTTTCTTTCTTCATAGATTTTCCTGTTCTGGAAATTCATTTGTTTTAATTGAAAATAGACCATGCTAAGTGAAGACCTTAACATAACCAAAGAAATTGAAATTTGTGAAGTGTGCTCTTGCACCCTATTGGGTCTGAAGATCATTTGAAAGGCAGCTCTGTCTTTGAAACAGGGAAAAATATATGGAATCCATGGACCAAATCGGTAGCAAGAAATTCCCATTCCCTGCTGGTTTATCCTTTCTCAGCCATTCATTTTGTAGGTGTCCTGTAGGCATAAGCCAGCAATTAAAGTAATGTGTCGGTTAGTACTTCTCCAAATGGTTATTTTTCCATGCATTGTCCACTCCCTTTTGAAACATTGCTGAGACTGGAAGATTCCAGTCTGGTTTCAGCAGTCACTGCATTTATTTCACTCAAGGCAATAATTCTGACAGCCCTACCAGTTACTAATCTATTATTTTTAAATTTTGTGACACTGCTGAAATTTTCAGTGGATTCAGACACTGGAATCTGAGGACAAGGATTTGAGTTTTACATCCTAAGGTTCTTAGGCCCTGTGTTTCCTGTTACAAAAAAAACATATAGAAAGATAAGTAGAATAAGTAGATAAGGGCAAATTGGTCACAACAATAGTGGATTACACTGAATGAGGTTTACAATGTATGTTCTTGCTTGTTCATGCTCAGGTGAGAGTCTCTGTTCCATACAGCAACCATACCTCTAAGATTTTATTGGTAAACTGTCCCGTGTTTTGTGCTATTTCCCTCAGAATGCTCTCTGATACCATTTTCTTTCAAATGTATAGAAGTCCCATGTCTGAACTTGGTATTACCTTTGTAAATGTCCATTTTATATTGAGATATACAGTATAACTGGATCAGGATTATTCTCTCATGAGTGATAAAGTTTCACATGGATTTGGGGTGAAAGCTTTCAGTATATGGGAATACTAAATCTCAGAATAGATGATTTTCTAACCAAATTCGCACTTTTGGAGTTGTCACCTACAATGTATGTATGTTGTGGAATGTGGTCTTCCCCTGCAGACATTTAACAGTAAACCTTATAAGTTGTACTTACTGGGTGACATCTGCAGAGCAAATACCTGCAGTGTATAGCTGTAACTGTCATGCTGTGATCCCAGAACTTGAGAGGCTGAGGCAGGAGGATCACCATGTTTTCGAGGCTATCGTGAGCTACATAGTGGGTTCAAGGCTAGCCTGAACTACATAAGAGTCTCTGCCTTAATAACAAACAAAAAAGTAAGTATGCACTTCTTTGGCTTGCTCTGAAGTTATAACTCACTTCCATCTTTAATCACAGTAACTGTCTACCCTCAGGTACTAACTATTTGAACTGTGGTTTTCTTTATTTGCAAAATGGACATCATATTTTTGTTACCAGGGATGTGAGAATGAAACTTACTCATCTTCGATCCTCATCCATTACCAAGCAGATTGCAGGAATTAGTCCTCTTTTTCTGAATGCATATATTTGAAATAAGACATTCAAGTATTTGGTTTAGCATTGCTTTCTGCCCCCCTTCTCTGTCTTCTTGCTGTGAAGCAAGAGGTGCCTGAAGAACTCACATAGTTTCGCTCCGTGAGCAGTCTTCCTTGGGCCTGCGTGGACATACCTTAGCCAGAGGCTGGCCTGTTATACCCAGTAGGATTCTTTTAGGCTGGAGGGTGCATGCCTGTGACCTGGCAGTTGTTTCCCGTGACTAAAAAAGTCGTGGGGTCTGGGCTATTCCTCGTTTCCTGAAAATTAGGTGATTTGAAATGCTAACTATAAATATGCAGGAACCAAAATTTTTTTCCCAGAGAATTTTAATGTTTAGTCTCAGTTGATATCTCTGGTTCCTCTTACCTTCTAATAGCATTATGTTACAAAGTTCACCCAGCCAAAGTTTTAAAAAATGCATGTTTTACAATTAGAAATGCATAGAACACTTTGACATTTTAGAGCCATTGGGTTTATCCTATAATTGGTTCAATTGCTTTAAACCCTGGAAGGTAAAGTTACTGGTGTTTCTCATCGGGTAGAAAACTTGAGGCCAGCGGTATTCAGATAAAGCTTTACCCAAAGTTAATCAGTGGGAGAGCTCGTTCCTTCATCCAGTGGTATGGTGGTGAATTTAATTTATTAGGCCCCAAAAAGATACAAACTTAGCTAGAATTGTGGCACTTCTTCCCCCTTCCCCATGGGTATGTTGTATATGCTGCTCTACATACTTCGTCCTGGGCCTCTCTGTCAGGGGAGATTTTGGAAGATAAGTGAATACTTCATAGGGTGTTATTTTTTTAAATAAACATTCACAAAATAGAGTCACAGGCAGAATCCTAAAAGCTTAATCTCTATTTGAGTATATCTTCCTAGACTTCAACAAATCCTGGAAAAGTGAACACGACTTTCTTCAAAATTTAAAGTGGAGCCTGGTGTGTTGATTCCAAAGGAGTTCCATCCTTTGCCCTTCAGCTCATCAGGGATCTCTTCTGTGAACGGTTAGTAATTATGTGGGATTTTAATGTGCTATAATTCTTGGTGTGATTTCCTCCTAGAACTTGTGTTTAGATTCAGTGTTTTATAATTCTTGTTTTTGTGCGTAGTAGAGAGAGATTGATTACATGGAAATTTTAGGGCAAGTCTGTATGGTTAATGGATCTTTTGTAAGCCTCATTCAATTGCTTTGTTGTTACCACTTCGGAGATGCCAGGTGAGTATTGTCCCAGCTCACTCCCTCTGGGTTTGCCTTTAGGAAACTGGGTGTCAGGGGTTGAATCTTGTTAAAGTGTCGTGTCATTTTCCTTTTTTTTTTTTTTTGTCTAATTCCTGGAGTAGTGTGTGTAAATTGCCTATGGTGGGTTGCTTTAGTGCTAGTATTTAGAAACTTTTCTTAGGTAATAAAAATTTTCTGAGTTATCTGTTTTTCTGAGGTATCTTTCAGATGTGACTGGCTTTCGGATTTTGAGTCTGTTGCAAGATCCTGCATCTTCAATTTGTTGGGGATAAGAAGATGCTATCTATTTGGCATAGCCCCTGGTTCTTTTTCACTGCGCCACAGTATTTTCTGTGACCCTTAGTCAATCTCAGGCTTGGAATTCCAGAAAGAACAGCTGATTGGAATAATTATGCCACTTTTGGCTAAGGTGGTACCATCAGCAATAACAATAGCAACAAACACATCCTAGAAAATAACAAACTGAAGTAACCATTAATTAGTCACCTTTAACATATAAACTAGTTTTGTGGTTATATAACAAAATTAAAACAGCCAGAAAATTATATGCAGTATGTAAGTCTTTAATATATTAATTGTACCCTCAGAGGTTAAAATTTAAAAGAGGCTGGGGAAAAAATAGAGAGATAGAAGAGAAAGATATTAGAAGTACAGCTGGAGGACAAAGGAGAATCGAGCTAACTTTGGGAAACTGGTGCATAAGACAGGAGAGAAAGAGAAGGGAGAGATAAAAAGAACAGAATAGAACAACAAACACAGAGAGGCTAGAAACCATGAACAAAAAGAGAGAAAAAAGGTCCACTTTCTGGCTTGTCTCTACTGTCACTGGTAGACAACCTGTGGAGACAGAGCCCTAATCTATGCCGATCTATCCCAGAAAGTCGACAATAGATTTTTGGTGGGGTAGTAGACTCCCAGTGAGCCTGCACCTTCTGGTTGAGACCAGACTTATTGGCCTGCAGCTGTCAGTGCATCTTCCCTGGGCCTGAGCCCCGCTGGAAGGTGCTAGATGGAGCTGGCAGCAGCTGAGTTCTGAGCTCAGTCAGTCATTTTAGATGGCTCCCAGCCAATTGCTCTCTGTGTTGAGATGACTGAGCCCTCAGCACTCACCACCATCTAGTGTAGTCCTTCCATGCACTGTTGTTCACTGCTCTTCATGGAGGCCTCGGTGGTCTACCGGCCAGCTGTCACCATGTGCCCATGGATTTGAACTACTCTCATGCAGTGAGTCTCGACTCAGGGAAAAGGTACCATCTGCTACCTCCTGTGTTGAAGTTTCTCTTTTTAGTCTCCCAGATTTTTTATAAAAGTCAAAAGGATTTTTTTTCATAGCATGTTGCTTCCTGAAAAAGCACAATTTATAGAAAGTTTAATGACTTGATTTTTTCCTTTAAAAAGAACCACCAATTATAATCATGATGTGGGATCACCAAAAAAGTCCTTTTTTTTGAGATATAGTCTTGCTATGTCCAGGTTGGCCTTGAACTCACTATGTAGCCCAGGCTGGTCTCAAACTCGTGAAGTTCCTCTTGCCTCAATTTCTCAAGTGCTGGGACTTTGCTGACACATTTCTTTTCAAATTTTCTGTTGTTATAATTGTTTTGTTTTTTTGAGATAGAGTCTTGCTCTGTAATTCAGGCTGGCCTTAAATTCTGTATGTAGCCCAGGCTGGCCTTGAACTCCTGGTTATCCTCCTGTCTCAGCCTCCTGTGTACTGTGATAACAAGCATGCACAGCCATGCATCACCATGCACTATGACCAAGGAAGTCTAAAAACTATAAATACTGATAAGATTTAACAACTAGGTCTCCATAAGAAATGAAAAATTTTGATAGGTAGAATTTGCCAGATTCTCAGGTATAAATACTTCCATTCTGAGCAGTTTTAAGCTATGAATTTTGACACTGCTGAATGCAAATCTAGGAAGAGATGGACAGTATCAGCAGATATGAGTCAGTTCTGACACAGTACTGAATGAACATTAAAATCACTGACAGTCTAACTATACAAGGTCATAACCCCAACTGGTCTATAAAAATAGGCATATTGGTTCTGATGAGGAAACTTGTTACTGGATTTTTATAATTAAATAGGTTTGTCATTGAAGTATATGACTTCATGCTTTGAAGCTCTCATGTTATATAATCACCTCAGAAAGGTATAATTTATAATACAGTGAATTTGAAAGTTTCCGTTCGTTAACCCTAATGCTCTGAAGAGCATACAGCATAACATTTAAAAAGTTATGCGATTCATCTAGATTGTGTACTTCAATAGCAGCTTATATAGAAGTAGTAAAAAGGTGATGAGTTAAAGTGCATTTATATAGCTTGATGCAGAGTAGATTATAGGTCTGCCCATGGAGATGCAAAAATACATGAAAGAGAGTCTTTGTCCTGTTCAAATCATTGCTAGTGTCTGGTATCATTTGTGGGAATAAACTGCAGAGCAGGTTTAGTTGAGGCATCAACAGGACAAAAATGCTTGATGTTTTTGCAAAGATACACAATTAAGAAATTGTGCCCAAGGTCTAGAAGGAGCCAATGAGGTCGCTGCCCCCAGGCCACAGGAGGGCTCTGGGGAGCTACAAGTACCTCAGATGAGGCTTGTGGCTGCCAGGTTCCCCAAAAGCAGACCTGAGAGCTTTCAGTTAAGCTTTTCACTCTGAGTCAGGAGTGGAGGCTCACCCTTTCTTGCTTAGGTTCTTCTGTTCATAGAGTGATTAATATCTGGGCAAAGACTTCACTGGAGGTTACAGGACGAGAGACACTAGCGAGAAGCGCAGTGGAAAGATGGTAGCGAGAAGTGTTTACATTGTGGAAAGGGGTATCTGTGGCCCGTTGCTCAGAGTAACACTTGTTTTACTAAATTTGGTCTCTTCCTAACAGGTCCCATTTCATCGTTTGTGCCTAAGTTGCTAAGTGCCTGCCTTTCTCAAGATTCTTGGAGAGGTAAGAAATATGTGAGAGTCCTAAAAGAGAAGCATTTTAACATGTATATTTTTCAATTCAAACAACAAAAAAAAATGTCTGTAGGGAATATTTTCACAGCTTGTGTGTTAACTAAAACCAGTTAAAAGTCTTGGTTGTTAGCCAAAGAACTAGCTCAGTGTTACAGCATAGAAAATTTGAGTTCGAGCTCCAGCACCACAAAAGAAAAAAATGTCAGATGAGCTTATTTAATTGGAATATGTGTGTAAAGAAACTGTCTTAGTTAAAGCTGCAGCCAAGGACAACCCATCAAGAAGCCCCAAAACCCAAGAAGCCCAAGTTCTCTTGGTCTTTTGTCTAAAACAAATTTATCAATACACACTTAGTATAAGGATAGATTTTTTTGTGTACTTGAGCGAATTGGAAATTTCGATTCCTCAATTAAACAAAAAATACGTTCTACATACCTGTTGTCAGTGTCTCATTTTTAGCTGTTCCATTAAATTTGTCCTACATTTGTGCGTGGGGTTAGTTTGGAAATGTCAAGGGACCACAGGGAAATGTCTGTGGAATTCCACAAAGTTGCTTTCACTAAACTGAGATTTATTGGTATTCCAAAGGAGCTGCTACTGACTTCTTTTTTTATGAGTCTTCTCTTTGTCACATCCCCTTTACCTTGAGCTTTGTTTGCATCTAAGAATCAATTGTGTCCAAGTTCTAAATATTGCTTCTGGTGGCATGGCTGCATTTATTATACAGATTCCCAAAGTGGAAGGTAATGTTATGCATTTTAATGACATAAAGACTGTCTTTGTTCTGAATTCCCTTTCTCTTTATTTGTTGTTTTGTTTTGCCATTTCTTAGCAGTTTTGAGGATGTTTCATAAACTTGATATTTCATAAACCAACAATACATAGGTTTATAGTCTCACTTCATAGGAAAAAATATATAGATAGCACATTAAACATTTTTGGAACTATTTTTTCATGGTGTTCTAATGCATTAGAAGGAATGTAGAAAAGACTTGACCTTGCTTCAGCTAATAACAATACCTAAAAATGTTTTTTAGTAAGAGAAGACATCAGATAAAACCTTAAATTTTAGTTCTCTGCAAGGAAATCTCAGGTCAAGAAATGTCTGTTTCTTTAAATGATTTATTTCAGTATGTATTCCACCTGGAGTCCATATTTTTAAACTCCTAAGCAAGGCTCTAGTAGATCCATATACTTTAATGTTTATCATCATTCTTGGTCTGTTATTAAAGTGACAGAAAGACTGAGTGTTCTTGATATATGTTTTTCTCATTATCGGAGGCCTAAAAACAATTCTTTTTATCCCTGAAAGATGTTTTACTCACCAAAATGCAGAAAGGAGATTTTGGCTCCACTGCAAGTATTTTAAATACTCATTTCTTGGTGATAGTTTCTCATCCTGGAAATTGATACTCAAAGTCTTACATATGTGGCAGTGGTGGCAAACCTAACTAGCACATGTAGGATTCACGAATTCATAGAAAACCAGGGGAAGACAGGCCAAATTAGGCAATACAGAAAGGGGTGAACGGGAAGTAATTTGGGGGTAGTTTACAGTTAGGTCACTGATAAAGGGGATCACCATCTGAGAATCTTTTACACCTAAGAATTAGTTGGTATGTTTGATTCATTTTTCTTTAAATATCTTGTACTTAATGGAAATTTGAGTTTGGAAAGTTGAGTTTGGATTGTCTAGACTCAATTACTCAAAACAGTAATGTGATCAGAGTATCTAAAATTGTAGGGAAATAAGGATGCTTAATATGACACACTAAATGTAAAGGAAAAGCAGATATTAATACCTGTCTGAGTATATGAGAAAGTATTGCATTCTTGCACATTTGAGAGACTGGTGACGTGGAAAGCAGTACTTCATTTTCTGTTTTCCCTGAGAATTTTGTAGTTCTGAAACTGTACAGGCTTTGCAGCCCTTGCCTCTATAGTGGATTTTTCTTGAGCCTGTGAAACATATTTCATGTGAATAACTGGCATCTCAAATTCTCATTTGTTTGCAGAGATGTTTGGCACAAACGTGCAAATAGTTGCTGCCTGAGGGCAAAGTTGTTCCAGTGTATCTCTTAGAATAGTTTTCATTCAGATTTTCATATCCTATGCATATCTTTCTGATGTACCTTAATCTGTAGTTACAATTACTGCCTGTAAAGATTTCATGATACTCTCAATTTGATTTTCAGGAGGGCATAGGTGAATTTCTAAGTTTATGTTTATCTAAGTTTAAGTTTATCTAAGAACTTACATTTATGTTGTGGTTTATATCTAAAGATACCCCCCAATTTATATGTGTGTGGAAAGCAATTGGATCTACAGTGTACATATTGGTGGATTTATCCATTGGATATGGGTTACTGGATGTGTAACAGGAGCATGTACTCTTATCCTGGGCTTCTCCCTTCTTTCTTCTTCTTGTCATGACATGAGTGGCTTTCCTGGGTTAGACCATGCCTTTGATATGGCTGGTCATGGAATGAACCCACTTAAACTGTGAGCCAAAATAAACTTTTCCTCCTTTAAGTTTCAGGTGTCAGGTATCCTGTCCCAGTGACAGGTAAGTGACTAAGACAAATTGGTCAATTTCTTATGGTGGGTTAGTTCTGTGTGGCAAGATGAGTGGTTTTTATTTTTTTCTGACTTCTCTTTTCTCTGACCCAAATTTTTTTTTATCTTAAACATAATCTTGTTTGTGGTCTTACTGTAATGACGCTTGTGAAATGATGTGTTTTATGTGTGTTAGAAGCACCCATTCTTGAATTTAATCTTGTCTCTTCCATTGACACAATCAGGTTATCTAAAATTTGTTCCAACCTTTGGTTTTCTCTGTCCATGTTTTGGGATCCCCTTTATCAAGTTTCACTTTTGATGTGCCTTTCCTTAGGATCATTATTCCATAAATTCTTCTGCCATGTGGAAACATGTAATTTCTATATGCCTATGTATAGTAATTCACTAGAAAATCACCTAGTAAGTTTTTTTAGTATTGTACATTAGTGTGACTGGACTTTCTCATCAATGCAGGCCATTGTATTACTTTTCAAGGATTGGTTTCCTAATTGGTGTTATAACACACTTTATATACAGCTCTAATATGTGCTATGTTTTTGTGTGTTACTGAGAATTGGACACAAGGCCTCTTAATCATTTACTCTTTCTTGGCATCTGCAGAGAGTGAGAATAGGGATCATTCTATTATGATTCTTTGCCTGTCTTCAGTTGTTGGGTTCTTGTGTCCTGATTATGTTTTGTGATTAGACAAAAAAGAGGCTTAAGATCTGCCCCAGTTTCTTAAAGGGGTTCTTAGAATAGGAAATGGAGTTAAGAATACTGTTGAATGTCAGCTCCTCAGAAATATCACCAGAAAAATCTGTTGGCAAGGCAAATGAGCTTATCCTGGTTGTGATGAAGAGTACCTTGATAGTTTTAATAATAGGTTCATTGGGGGCAAAGTGAAGTTATTTAGGAAGCTTTTGTAGTTCAATTTAGTGTGACTCTTTCAATGTTGGATCTTGTTCTGGATTGGTAAAGAATTGAGATGTAATAGTTTATGACCAGTGTGCACAACTAAGAGAGGCTTACAAGGCAGTGGCTTGGATTTTCATCCAGTTTGCTCAGAGCCTGTTTGCTTTTCATTTGAATTTCTCCAGAAATTTCTGGAATAAACAATATTTGGGCAATATAAATAAGGCTAACACATTACGTGGCTTCTTATTTCATATGCGATTTCATCTCTTCTTTTGAAGAGATAAAATTTATGAAAGTATTCAAATAGGATTGCCTATAAGATTTTTGAAAACCTCCCTTTGGACTGTGGTGTAACTTTAGTAAAGCACTTCTCTATGATACATGGATTCCTGAGTTTGAGGCCCAGCAAAACAAAGCAAAAGCCCACTTCCTTTATACTGCAGGATTTTCTCCTTTATTCCTTATTTCCACTTCACCTGTATCAGAAGAACTGTCATTAAAACAATTGTTCTTAAAAGGTGGTAACTATCCCAGTTCTGTTCAATGCTGGTCAACTGACATCCTGCATGACACAATTTTTTTCTGATAACCCCTTTTCTCATAATCCTGAATCTGTTTGTTCTGTTTATATGCCAATACTTTCCATCTCAGAGCTTTTGCTTGTGCTGTTACCTCTTCCTGGGACACTGGTCTTAGCTGTCTGTAGCTCACCATCTGTCCAGCTATAGTCTCATTGCAGTTTGGTGTTTGACCATTGGTGGGACAAAACTGTACTATCATGAGATAAGAGACCTACAAGGGGTGTAATGGGGTGTGCAATAACTCTTCTGTCTCATTTAGTAGTTACAAGTAGTGAAGAAAGTAGGTTTTCTCAGAAAAGACTACGTACATGAAATAATTTCACAAGACAAGGCCAGATATTGCAGAGAATGTAGAACAAAAAACAAAACAAAACAAACATTTTAATCAGAGATGCATAAGTAATTTAGCTTCTCTTTTAGAGGAAGCACAGTAGTTGAGACAGAAAAGTCTCAGAAAATCTTTTTTACAAGTGCTTTCTAATAACTTAAGGTAGCTAATCATATTTTTAAACTTTTCTTTAATTTTTATAAGTACATTTGCAGTAAATGATTATATTCATTGTGACAAGCTGGTACATGTATATAACCCATCTTATTTCTTTTTACATTCTATTCCCCTCCCTGTCCCTGTTTCTGATCCTCTTTGCAAATAGATCATTTGCAAAAGATCTGTTGGCCTGATTCCTATTACCTGTCTTTTCTTAATGGTAGAGTGCAGTTTGTTCGCTTTCTAAGGAAAGGACAGGAGTAAGTATTTTCAGGGGAGGGAAGCAGAACCATAAGAAGAGAAAGGTGTGCAGTAAGGGGAAAGGTAAGAGGGGTTGTTGATTGAAATCAGCACAGCAGGCAGCTTTCCATCTTTTCTAGCACTAGTATGACATGGTTCTGCACGCACAGAGGCTTTACTGGATTATTATGTTTGTGACAATGT